GGGTGAACTTGAATCTACAAGTTTTCAGTTAGCAGTCCAGAGGTAACAAAGTCTCTGGGAGTGGAAAGTTTTCCTTAGCGAGAATTATCATCAACAAGGGTAGCTAAGTGAGGGAAGAGACTCTCTTTTTTCAAAAGGCTTGAGAAGTAAAGGATAGCGTCTTTGATGACAACATTTTGACATACTGATGACAAACAAGTTTGCACACTGGCCAGTGTATAATACTGGCTTCAACATCCGGAAGCATTCTAGTGTTTCCTGGGCATGGCCTTATAAAGTCTGAGAATTCCTTTGGGGATGTAAGGAGTTGGACAAAGACACCTCAGATGACACTGGAGAAAGGACATTTGAATCCTTAAGAAAACGATTCTTCAAGGTTCTTGACTTAAAATCTTAAATAACTCTTTAACATAAAAATGTTTGTATATTATTCGTTTGTGGAAGTGGGGAGCAGATTCAGCAATTGTGGAGTGCACCCATGTTCCGGAGTGAGGAGACTGCTCGAATAACGGTTCTATAGTAAAGCCAAATGAATACAGGGAGAGTCTAACGTGTCAGAGAACCTAGGACTGTGAGTTTGCTAACCCTTCGTTTTACAGGCAATGGAAATTAATTCGGGGAAGGCTGGGAGATTGACCTAAAGTCACATTAGTAGTGGCTGAGTCAGAATTCTAACCCAGCGCTTTGCCCATTGTACAAAGCGAAGAAAGAAAAAGGAAAAACTCAGAAAGGGTCTTTCTTCACCTCCTAGAAGATTTCTAGTCAGAAACCAGCTTCTCTCTCTTTCCCCAACTCATCCTGACCCCGCACTCTGACAGATCCGGTGGAGTAGGGAGGTAGGAAACTCATCTCTGGAGGCGACCCACCGGTCCTGGCAGATGACAGACTAGAACCTCTCACTTCGGTGAGTCTGTGCCGACGCACTGCCCATCAGACGCCTAACCTCAGGACAGAGGGAGGCTGAAATAAGGTGCGGCTGGAGAGCTTGACCGCCCAGCTCTCACACAGCGGTGGGGAGACTTGCTGCAAACTCCTCCTTGCCCTTTGTTATCCGCCTCTGCCTCTGGCTCCCGCTCATGCCCTACGGTCCCCCGCCCGCCTGAAGTCACCCCAACTGCACTCATAATATTTTGCTTTGCGCTGTGTCTGTTTTCCACCACCAACTTCCAGCAGTCTCCATGGCGACGCGCTGGGAAGGGGGGCGGGCGCGGCTCTGGCAATCCCAGGCCAGAGCCGCAGGGTTACTCCTGCAAACTTGCGAGCTCGCGGGCTCCTGCCGGCTCCGGCAGCAGCGCGATGCCGGGCTCCCGGGATCGGTCCTGCGTGCTACGTCCTCACCCGCCAGGGTTACAGCGGCCGGTCTCCCGGACTATGCGACTCTCACTTGACCCTACTGCCAGATTCAGGCACCAGTGCCTGGCAGGTGGCTACAGTGGGGGTGCCAGTGACCCCCACGGAGGCCACGCACATATACACATACACACACAGGTCCGCGAGGGAGAAACAGCCTGGTTTGGACCCAGGAGGGAGGCTCAGCCCCGCGGCCCTTTGCTCCCATAAGCCAGCTGATGCGTTCCTCACCCGAGAGAGAAGGCGGTTTCTCCTGGCGGGTTCCTGGAAGAGGATGGAGGAGCCTCGGGCCCTGTTTCCACCGGGGCGACTTTTCCCTGAGGGCACCGCCCCGGGGCCACTGGACGTCCCTGCCTCGAGGTCAGGCCTGGGCCTGGCCCCCTAGACTGGCGCGCCCTGCGGTCGACAAGACCCTGGGAACTCAGATTCAGCTCCGGGGGAGCTTTGGCAGGCCTCTGCTCTGGATTCTAAGATCTGGGCAGGCAGTGGAAAGCGGTAAACTGTCCAGTCAGTCCAGGCTCGACAGTTCGCTTCTCCAACGCGCCTTCCCGTTTCACAAGAAAAGACCTTTCTGTGGCGTAGGCGACCAACCCGACCCCAACCCACTTTGCGTAATTTTTGGGTAGCCAAAACTTCCATCCACTTTTCCTTCTTGTTCTCGAAGTTCTGGGCAAGAACGCCACGCTCTACCCGGCCTAACAAACGCGACTGTGCCCTCAGCGACCTTAGCGAGTCTCCGCTGCCCGCGTCTGCGGGAAGTGGCAGGCCACGCGGGACTAGGCACCCACTGCCTGCCCACCCCTATTGGTTGGCGTCGGGGGCTGTGGCAGTGCGCGTACCACGCCCGCCGCCCCAGCTGCAAAGTGCGCCCAGGCCAACCTGCCCGCCGACGGCCTCCGCACGCGTCCTCCGCCTTGGACCCTCTGAGCTGTGCGGCGCCTCCAGAGTCGCCTCCGAGAGGGGTTCGGCATTGTCGGGCTCAGATTCCAGCAAGCCGAGGGCCCAGGAGGCGCGAGCCGGCTTTCCCCCTCCCCCGATTGGGCCATTGTCTTCATCCTACACTTGTTGAGTATTTGGGGAAAACTCGAGGAATATATTACCAGCTCGGTGAGCAGAACAAAGGGGCGCGTTTCCGTAGGTCACGCTGAAGTGGCCCCAAGGCAGGCCACTAGAGCCCGGCCCTGTAAAACTCTTCTCCGGGGCCCGAGGCACTTCGCGGGGATTTTCCTTTTAAGAGTAGGGGACCAAGGCTCGGCTTACGGCCTCTCTGATCCTGGATGCTCCCAGCTTCGCTTCAACACTTGCTACGAATGGGATGTTTCAGCCCTTTGGGAACGAAACAATAATCACACTGATTTCGTGGTTCCGATCGCGCGCAATCGGCTGTGAAAAAGCGTAAACGAACTGCTTGGTGGAGCGCCCCTCTCAGCCAGCCTAGGAGACGAGACTTTTACATAACAAGGAAGACTGGGGGCGGGGTGGGGGGGGAGATAGAAGCCTAATTGGATTAAGTTCTCTAGAAAGGAGGTGAGGTAAGGTTCCGAGACCCGGCGATGCCGAGCCGCACTTGTTGTCGCGGTTTCTGCAAACCCGAGTGGTGCGCCTCGTGTCATTTCTGCACGCGGCCTCCTTCCCCAAAACTTCTTATTTTGAATTCAGGATTGCGCTCTAGGGATGTCTCAGATATACGGAAAGGGGGAGGGTGAATGGGGAAAATATTTTTAGGGTGTTTGTAGTTAGGGTGGAGGTGACCACGTGCTACATCCAGGACAGAAAAAGAACGTTACTTTAGTCCCTCAATCCAGAGAGGAGAAAGTACCCCAGCCTGCCCCCCAAACGCCTCCGGGCTCTCCAGTCCGGTGTGTAGGGGGGAAGGTGCCGGAAACCCCCAAGCTGGGCCAGGGTAGGTTTGGAATGCGGGCAGTCTCCAATTCCCTGCGTGGGCCACAAACTCTGCAGACCTGGGTTTTTGTTCTAGGAAATGCGACGCTAAAGTTGGGGTGCTCCGATAGTGCTTAGTGACCCAATCGCTCGTAAAAAAAAGACCAAAGTGGGGAAGGGAGATTTCCTTCTTCTCTGGGCTTGCTTTACCCGGGGCATAGGAGACCACAGCCTGGTCCGTTAGGTTCCCGCAGCCAGGAGCTCGGATACTGCGCTCCTCTTCTAGCCTTCGTTTGTCATCAAATCTAGGAGGGGGGTTGCAAGGCGCAGTCTTTTCCTAGTCCCTAAAGGGCCTACACTCACCAGGGGGAGCGCAATCCGAGAGGGATTTGGCATATCGCATCAGAGACAGACAAGACAACTACCCAGGAAAACTGAAACACCCTCAGATCTACCCAGAAGGGGCGTGTGCCCCCTGACCCCCCCCATCAGGGCCGTGGCGGATGTCTGGAGGGGACGGAGACCTTTCTGCAATGACCGAGGGACGCCCATCTGTGACACAGCCCAGATGATCCTACTCCCACCCACCTACCCATTTCCAGCCCGCTTATATGGAGATGGCAAAGTCTGGAAGGCACTTGTTGCTCCGCGCTGCAAAGTGCAGCCGCGGATTCTCCCAGGCATCCTCCCGGGCAGCCTGTCCAGCTGCTGCCGCTGTCCAAGCTGCGCTGATGTTCTCATTTCTGCCTCTTCCTCAACCCATCTCCCCAAGAAACCCTAGAGGCTCTAACCGAGCCCCGACGGGACTGTAGAGTAGTTTAGCGAACGCGACTGGGGGAGTGTGAACTTCAAGAGAACATCTTCCACCTGGAAGGGTTGTAGAGAGTGTAACTGGGATGTAGAAGTTTGGCGGCTCTTCAAAGGTGTTAGGAGTGGGAGTTGGGGGACGCCGAAGGCTCTGGGAGAAAGAACTGAGATGCCGGGCTTTTTTTTACTTTAAGACGATTCCTTGGCCTCCTTCCTCTGTTGCTAAAGGCCGCCGCCACCCCGCAAAACTCGACGCCTACAACTAATAGCCCCCAAAGTGCAGAGGGGTATGCGGGCGATCACGCCGTGTCGCGTCCCGCCCTCTCGCTTCAACGGGTTAGAACATCACCAGAGCGCAGCGCGCTGTCGGGTGCCCCTTCCCGGCAAGCAGGCGACACCTCGCCTAGGAGGGCCCCTTGGTGCAGCGCCTATTCCCTAGGACCACCGGGTTCGCCGCTGCCACTCTCCAGCTGTGCTTCCCCACCGGCGGGAGCCGCGGTCCCACCTCCCTTCTGGGCCTGGAGGTCGTTCTGCTGGTCTTCGAGTCCCCCGCCACCAGCCCCCGAGCGTACGGCTATACCAAGGCCCCCAAACCCAGGGTGGGGAGGAGGAGCCGGGCCATGAGGGGGCGGTCGGCTCGCAACGTTTATACGAGTGGTCCCGAGCTCGCCTCGAGCCAGCGCATCTTTACGTGACTTTGTGTCCTGGGCCAGCGAAGAAGGCGCGCTCCTTTCTCAGCGCGCGCGCACACACAATTACACGCGCGCACACGCACTTCCACGCATTCAACATGCATACATTTTACTTCGCGCCGGATTGAAAACTTTTGCACGCCCTCCAGGATTTCCTGGGGTTCCGCTGTCAAGTTGAAGCCGCTGAACTTTTTTGCAACTCTTTCTAAAGTTCCCTTCTCCCTCCCTCCTCCTTCCCTTCACGGCCCCCTCTCCCCCCTCAGGACTAACCTGTGGAATCCATGTCGGGTTCCTCCAGTAACCCACAATGCATGCTCTTCCCATGGACAGCACAGGCGCCCCCCAAAAGTCCTGATGTTTGGGGATCCCCTGTGCTAGAGATGCCCAGGGAGGAAGGGGAAAAGGAGAGGGAAACGCAGAGCGTAGAGCAAGAGGGCAAAAGGATAAAGGAGCAAAGAAAAAAGAAACAGAAAGAAGAGGAAAGAAAAGAGGAAGGAGAAAAGAGCCAAAGAAGGGGGCGAGCGCAGAGCAGAGGGAGAGAGAAAGAGAAAGCGAGCGAGCGAGCAAGGGGACACTCAGTAATCCAGCCGGGCAAAGCCAAACCCGTCAAAATGTTTGCGGATGTTTCATGGGAAAAAGCATCATTTTATAGGAGCCCCGATGGGCGCAATGTCATTGATAGGCTAGCCGGCCTGATGAATGGCCGCTCGTCAGATGGGGCCGTGGCGAGGCGCACTGTGAAGCCCATTGTGGGCCTGTTTTGAATAAGAAAAGCCGCCTCAGAAAAGGGGGGCTCAGAGCGACGCAATCCCAGCCCTCCGACTTCCCCCTTCTATTATAGCATTAGCAACGTTTTTCTTATTTAAAGTTCCAGAGGCCTTCTCCAGCCTTCGCCCGGCACTCATTATGGGCGAAATCAAAATTGGCTTAGATGTGGCCCCCTCCCCCTCCTCGACCCAGCCCGGCGCGGAGCGGCGCTGGGGGTGGGGGAGTGGGGGACAGAGACTCCAGGAAGCTTGGGGAATCGCCTCAATGGCCACGAGTGGGGCCCCCTCCCTTCTCTCTCGTCTTGAGCCCCATTCCCCGCTCAGCCCTGGTTTGGTTGGGGTGGGGACCTTGGGAAGGCAAAAAGGGGGTTATCTTGACTCCCACGGGGACCTGCGGACACTCGTGGGAGAGCAGAGGGGGCTGAACTGCAAGTTGGGAGGAAAGGAGTGGGCAGGGGTCGCTGCAGCCCTGAGAAGCCAGAGTCCAGCCTGAGAGACAGACGGACTGGGCTGGGAGGGGGCGAGGGGCCGCCGGCCTCCAGAACTTTCTCTGCGTCTGTCTCCTTTACACTGGCTCCCTCCTTCCCGTCTTTCTCTTGTTCACTCTGCCTGTCGCCTCTCCTGCTAGTTCTCCGTCTTTGGCTGCTTGTCTCCGTCCAGCCCCTGCCCCCACGTCTCTTTGTCCCTCCCTAGGACTCTGGCCCCCTCTGTCTCTATCCCCTTGGTCTCTCTCTGCCCACCCCCAGCCTCTTCCCCTTAACTCTGTCGGTCAGTCTGTCTGTGTCTCAGCCGCTCTTTCCCTCCCTCTCCTCCCGCCAACCAGCCGCGAAGTTGGTGAGAAGCCCCAGCGTCCAAGTGGGGACTCGGTTTTCCCAGGGACCCCCTCCCCGGCGGAGTTTAAAGTGCAGAATGAGGGGGGCGAAGGGCTGAGGGGCTGGAAGTGGAAGTCGAGGGGAGGGGGCAGACTGAGTCTTTGCGGCCCCGATAAAGTGGCCGTTCGCGGGCCGGCAGCGCTGTGATTAGAATATGAATGGGGCTCGGCGGGCGGAAGAGAAAGGCGGATTACCCGGGTGCTTTGACCATGGACAGAGGCAGCGCCGCTGGGCCGGGCAGGGGGCGGGCCCGGCCCGTCCCTAACGCTGGCCTGGGATGCTGGGGTCTCTAATCTGGGACCCAGGCTGGGCATGGCCCCCAAGTCCGCTCAAACCACCACACCCCCCAGCAAGGCTAAATGGGGCAATGGGGGGAGGGGGGTGAGGGACCAGCACGTGCAGAGTTAAGGTCACGGTGCCTGAGGAAGGAGACGGCGCAGTTTGGCACTGGACAGAGCACGGCTCCGGAATTCCTCCTTCACCTTTCTGGACCTCAACTTTCTTGTCTGCAAAATGGGGCTAAGATGGCCCCTTTTGGATTTTGAGTGATTACAAAAGGAGCCAGGCACTTGCTGTTCCTTCTTCCTGGAACTCTGGGTGAGGGTACTTTCTTCCTGGGCCTCTGCCCGGCTCACTACTCAGTCTGCGATGTTTTGTTTACAGCCAGTCCCCAGTGCTACAGCTTCAAGCACATCCTAGCACTGAAGAAAAGTTTCTTTCAGATTGCGATGGTTGGTGTGAGGAAAAACAAGTAGAGGAGAACCTTTGACAACCTAAGGCATGTGGTTACCACCACGGGTCCTTGAGGTGTACATGGCGGAAAAAAAAAAAAAAAAACCCGCAGGATTGAGACTCAGAAGACCTCTCACTGCCCCATCTTCTCCCTCAGGGAAATGCGGAGGATGACAAAAAAAAAAAAAAAAAAAACTTCTTTAGGGAGGCATAGGAGTACCAAACAATATGGTTCCCTGAGTGGTACAAATAGTTAAGGGTTCTGCTTCTAGCCTACAGACTGGTGGATAGAATCTAGCCAGTAGGAACTGTGCAAGAAAGGTCTGGAAATCTGCTTCTGAATGGTTGGTTACGGCCTTGAAAACCCTATGGCACATACTTCTTCTCTGCACACATGAGGTCGCCATGAGTCAGAACAGACTCCATGGCAAAGAGGGTGGTTGACTAGGGGAACAGTGCCCTTGAGAAGGCCAGGCAGGGACTGGCTTGGTCTGCAGGGGACAGGGAAGTGAGAAATTATGGTTACAGTGGCTGTTATTCATATTTTAATTATTATGCAAGGAAAGTGGAGGGGGCCTAGGGAAGTGAGGCTTACAGAAGCAGGAGGTTAGGAGGTGAGCAAGGCGGGCCCTCACCTGGCAGGGTACACACCCAGCCCAGCCCAGGACTAGAACCACAACCATGCAGCAGCCATTCTCTGCCCCTGTCTCTGCCTGACCTGGTCTAAAATGGTACTGCAGTTCCCTGGAGCTTAGAGAAAGGATGCTAATAATTCATTCCTTCCTTGACAAATTTAACTATTTATTATGTGTACTGTACTATTCTGAGTCCTGGTGTGGCGCTGGTGAGTAATGCGCTGGACTGCAAAGTTGATTTGAACCGCAAGGTATGCACTTCAAGCTCATCAGCTGCTCTTCAGAAACCCTATATGGAGTTGCTATGAGTTGGAACCAAAACTCAGTGGCACTTAACAACAACAGCAGTACTGTTCTAGAAGCTTGGAATATTTCAGTAACCAAAAAAAAAAAAAAATTACATCCTAGAACTTACACTAAGGTGAAGAGGGGGATAAGTCATATATGTGATACATGCATAATTAAATTATATAGTGTGTCTAATGGTATGCAAAGGTTTTTAATTGTGTGGACCATGACAAGCTATGGACTTAATTGTGCTCATGAGGAATCTGTACATGGACCAAGAGGCAGTTGTTCACACAGAACATGGCAACACTGAATGGTTTAAAATTAAGAAAGGTGTGTGACAAGGTTGTATTCTTTCATCACACTTATTAAACCTGTATGCTGAGCAAATAATCCAAGAAACTGGGTTCTTTGAAGAAAAACATGGCATCAGGATTGGAGGAAGACTTATTAACAACCTGCGATATGCAGATGATACAACCTTGCTTGCTGAAAGTGAAGAGGACTTAAGACATTTACTGATGAAGATCAAAGAGCACAGACTTTGGTATGGGTTACATCTCAATGTCAAGAAAACAAAAATCCTCACCACTGGACCAATAAACAACATTCTTATCAATGGAGAAAAGATTGAAGTTGTCAAGGACTTCATTCTTCTTGGATCAACTGTCAACACTCCCGGAAGCAGTAGTCAAGAAATCAGACGATGTATTGCATTATGCAAGTCTGCTGCACAAGACCATTTTAAAGAATTGAAGAGCAAAGATGTTAACTTGAGGATTAAGGTGCGCCTGCCTGACCCAAGCCATGGTATTTTCAATTACCTCATATGCATGTGAAAGCTGGACAATGAATAAGGAAGACCGTAGAAGAATTGATGCCTTTGAGTTATGGTGTTGGAGGAGAACATTAAAAGTGCCATGGGCTGCCAAAAGAAACAATAGATCTGTTTTGGAAGAAGTGCAGCCAGAGTGCTCCTTGGAGGCCAAGATGGCCAGACTTCGTCTTTCATACTTCGGACATATTGTCAGGAGGGACCAGTCACTGGAGAAGGATGTTATGTTTGGTAAAGTGGAGGGTCAGAGAAAAAGAGGAAGATCCCCAGCGAGATGGATTGGCCAGGTGGCAGCATAAATGGACTCAAGCGTGGCAACAGTAGTGAGGTTGGCCCAGGATCGGGCAGTGTTTCGTTCTGCTGTGCATAGGGTCACTATGAGTCAGTACTGACTCAATGGCACCTAACAACAACAACAATGGTAGGTATTATGCAGGGAGGGTGAAAATCAGGGAAGGTCTTCCTAAGAAGGTGACATATTTTGTGAGATTTTTTTAATTTGTGAAAATTAATTAAGCAGTGAACATTTATGTTTTATGTACTTTTCTGAATGCATTCATGCCTTAATGAAAAAATTTGCTTAAATATAATGCTGACAACATCATAATAGTAAAAACTTTAATTTTGGGCATATTAACTACTCTTCATCATTTAGTGCCGTTGAGTAGGTTTCAACTAATAGTGACCCTGTATAGAGTTTCTAAGGAGTGGCTGGTAGGTTTGAACTGCCAACCACATGGTTAGCAGCCCAGTGATTATTCATTTACTGTTGTTGTTGTTGGTAAGTGTCGTTGAGTCAGTTCTGACTGATAGTGACCCCGTATAGGGTTTCCAAGGAGTGGCTGGTAAGCTTGAACCACCGACCTTGTGGCTCAAACCGACCTTGCAGTCGGTGCCAGCCAAGTGCAAAGAGCCCTGGTGGCACAGTGCTTAAGCATTCAACTGCTAAATGAAAGGTCACTGATTGAAACAACTAAAGCCCTATGGTCCACTTCTGTTCCATCCTGTTGACTCACTGTGAGTTGGAATTGACCTGACAGCAATGGATTCAGCAGGCAGCTCTGGGCCTCCACAGTGATAAACATTTCGTTCTCACAAGAAAACCAATTCATAGGTACTATTGCCATTTTTGTTTTTAAAAAAGACAACTGGGGGGTCAGTGTGGCCATCTTGAGCTGTCATCACTGCTGGGGTACTGGGAAGTTTCATGGGCACTTCAAGCCACCTCTCTCCTGCTGTTGAAACCATGCTTCATCTGCTGATTTCAGTGAATAATCTCATTATCGTCTCATTATCTTAGTCAGAAACCTTGGCATCATCTGCCTTTTCTCTCACTGGCCAAATGGAATCAACCCCAAGATTAGCATGTTCTGTCTAGACAACAGTAAACAGTCCCGTCCCATCCTTCACAAGCAATGACAGTAGGATCTACCCACTTTGTTCCTTGCTTTGTGTGGAGAACAACTGGTGGGAATAATTGGTGACACTCATCCACTGCCATCTAGTTGATTCTAATTGGTGACTGTTGTTGTTAAGTGCCACCGAGTCGATTCCAACCCATAGCGACCCTGT